CGATAAAATCACTCCCATTATTTGTACGTTGCATCGATGCATATTGCTCCTCCGAAAATGCATTGAATGCTCTAGCACCTGCAAGTGTATCTCACTCCACAAGTGTTATTATAGGAACTTTAAATGTTTAGACATTTTTATTAGTGCATTCTCTGGATAAAACCACCTACTCGCTGTCACTTTATGTTAATACCGTCCCCAGCTAGTTTAACTAATTTGAATATCATCAACAGTATATCACTGTGTCACATGACATACGCATTTTGATAGATCTGTTTGGCATATTTCGGTAATTACTGCTTTGTTGTTCCGTGCTCTCTGTTTTCGTTTTAATTTCTCTAGTTGTAGATATTTATCATTAAATCGATCTGGCACACGAAATGACCTTAATTACATCGTTTATAAATCAACAGACAGTCCAGTTAAAAAAAATATTACATATTCCCGGCTGATACATTGGATCGCTGTAATACCCAAACAATTACTGAACTAGTAAACTTAAAACTCATATCACATGTTTGTTCTGTACATATAATGATATTATTTATATCAAATTGATCATGCCTGTAAACTGGCGTGAATTCTGTAATTATAATTTTTTCAGAATATAAATTATTATTATTATTATTATGTGTCACATAGTAAGGTTTCCTTACCTGTTCCCATCTGTTTAATGCGCAGTTTAAGTGTTGTTGAGGCCAACTCGTGCTGAAGATCACTGTCTTCTTTTTGATGCTAGGCGAGTTTCAGAAGGACGATTCCTTGGAAACTGTTCAAAGAATTTATGCGAGACAGGGCGTCTGCAACTACATTGTTTGCTCCAGAAATGTGTCGAATATCTGAAGTAAACTGCGAAATGTAGTCCAGTTGTCGAGACTCACGTGGTGAGTACTTGTCCGAAGAAGAGCTTAAGGAGAAGGTAAGTGGTTTATGGTCGGTAAAAATGTTAAATTCACGGCCTTCGATATAGTGTTGAAAATGCCGGACAGCACAATACATAGCTAGGAGTTCCCTACCGAATGCTCTGTACCTCGATTCAGTGTCTAGCAACCGTCTAGAGGAAAATGACAAAGATTGCCAGCAGTGGTTAACCCATTGTTTTAAGACTGCTCCGATTGCTGAGTTGGATGCGTCTACTGCGATACTAATGGGCGCTTCAGGGTCCTGATGACCAAGCATTGATGCTCGGGCGATACGTCCCTTAACAGTGGAGAATGCTTTTCATGCGGTGTCATCCAGATTGATGGATTTCGCATTTCCACGAAGTTGGTCGGTAAGATGTTTCATAAGTAACGCGCATTTCGGTATGAATCGTCTATAAAAACTTACCAGACCGTTAAGCGTGCGCAATTGCTTGATGGTGGTCGGTTCTGGGTAATCCAGAGTGGCCGCCACTTTTGTTCTAAGGGGTCGAGTGCCATGCGCATCGATAGTGTGTCCTAATAAGTCTACGGATTCGGTTCCGATTTGGCTATTCTGAATGTTTACGGTAATGCCATGTTTTTGTAGTCTGTCGAAAACAAGGTCCAGATGCTTGAGATGCGATAGTCTGTCCGAACTTGCTATTAGGCAGTCACCAACATACACATGTACGAAGTTGAGACCTCGAAAAACGTCATCTATGAATCTTTGGAAGGTCTGTGCCGCGTTTCTCAGACCGAAAGGCATTCGCAAAAATTCGTAGAGTCCGAAGGGCGTTATAATAGCGGTTTTTGGAATGTCTTCAGTGGCCATAGGAATTTGGTTATAAGCTTTTACCAAGTCGATTTTTGAAAAGACAGTTGCACCTTTCAAGGTAGCTGTCGAATCGTGAATGTGGGGCAACGGGTAACGATCGGGAATGATTTTTGCATTCAATCACCGATAATCACCAGTTGGACGCCAATCGTTGCTGTCCTTTTTAGGGACCATGTGCAACGGAGATGCCACTGGGCTATTTGACGGTCGTATGTTTCCTAAGTCTATCATATGCTCAAATTCGTTTTTCGCCAACCTTAACTTTTCGGGAGCCAGTCGGCGTGCTTTAGAGAATATAGGTGGTCCTGTAGTCATGACGTGATATGTAACGTTGCTGGTTACACACAGCGATTTCGGTTGCGGTTGGTAGATGCCAGGATACTTATGGAGTATTGGTTGATAGAATGGGTCTATAGTGTGCTTAATAGTGACTGGAGATAACCTGCAACCATAAAAAGAAGTTACGCAAACAGATAAATTAGTATTTCCATCTACTAGCCTCCGTTTGCACGTATCGATATTTAAGTTGTGGTTCTGTAGAAGGTCCATACCAATGATTGACATAGAAACATCTGCAACAAGAAAAATCCAGTGAATGGGTTTGCGTAAACCCACCTTAAGCTAAACATACCTTTGGCCATACGTAACGATAGGCTTTCCGTTTGCCGCCTGTAGATTTAAAACAGGCTCGTGTAGCCTGTCGTCGGAATTCGCTGGGAGAACGCTAACCCCTGCGCCAGTATCTACTAGGTAGCGAACTCTCGTTATCACATCAATGACATATAAAAGACGGCTATGTTTGCTGGCTACGGTCGCCGTTAACGCGTGCCGGCTTGCAAGTTTCCCGAAACGTTCTTCGCGTCGAGGGATTTTGCGTTGGAAAAATTGCAGGGTTTTCTGCAATTTCTGGCGGACTTTCCGTACTGGTTATGGTACCAGCACCAATCAAGATTATCCGTCTCTCGAGTTCTAGATAGAGATCGCCTACGTGATGTGCTTCTCCGCGGGGTTAGTGATCGTTCACGGTCGTTACAGAGTTTGAGATAACGCGTAAGAGTATGACATAACTGTGTTATGTCATTCTGGGTCGTTTGAGGCTTTTCTTTGACTGAAAAAACCTCGGCGTTAGAAGACCTAGTGATTTCGAGGATGCGGTCGGCAGATGCAGCTAGCTCGTCTACGGCGTTGTTTTGAAACGAGGCCAGCACAGCTTGCATCTGTTGAGGAAGTTTTGATAAGAAAAGTTGTTTGAATAGGCCGTAATCGAAGGTTCTTAGGCCAATGACTTCTCGCATTCTTTGCAACATGTCTGTCGCAGAACCGTGTTGCAGGTCGATATTGTTGAGGAGTTGGTCTAACCTTTGTCGATCGGTTAGATCTCCGCGTTTAGGGATGGCATGTTTCAGGGTTTGGTATGGATCAGAAACATCACTAGTAAACATACCAGGTGTTACGTACCTGTTAAATTCGCGCGGTAGTGCCTTGGATTCTGCGAGGAATTGTGTACGCGTATCGTTCACACCCTGCTCGAAGAAGTTAAAAAAAGGTTAAAATAAGACAATGATATATAAAATCACAAAAAGAAACAGACTCACAGTTTAAAACATGGTGTACCAGATCACATCGGGCTCACCAATGAAGGTGCCACAGGTATTCGGAGTTTGACAACGCTTTAACCAGTAACACCTTCTAATACGAAGCGCACCCACCAAGTAAAATCAAAAGACAGAAGTGAGGAGATCGAAGATATATTTGATAAGCTATCAATATATCGAGGATCGTTTGCACTATTCTGGCTAGCGATTGCGGCAGATGTTGAGCACGGCGTTCCCACACGTAATCTGGTGCGGATGCTTGACCGAGCGCCTTCAGCTAGATGAGTCCACTAAAACTGTGGTCAGCATCCAATGTCGAAAACTTACAGAGCTATTTGATTTTGGGGAATTATTTACCGCTACATTTAGTTTACTTTGATAAGCATTATACCTAACGATACGCCAGCCTTTTGATTGAGATGATATTTCGATTTATTACATCAGGTGGGGAAAGAAGCTTGAGAGACAACTACATTTATAACGATCACTAATTTTCTTGTCGAAATATGATTGAGTGAAATTTACATGGCAGTACTTGCATGGAGTGACGAATAAGCAAAGACAGATTATTACTAACAAGTAAGCCTTCCTAAGGATGTGCGCAGTCGAAGAAATTATAAAAAAACTGATCGTGAGTAAATATTTCGGAAGACTATACCGGAGGTTTTCTGAAGTACGTGAAAGATCTCGATGAACATATGATTCTTTTCGAGTGAAAACCTCTTACTTGAGAAATTGTTTGGTGAAGTTTTTAAAAAATCTGAGTTTTAAACTGCGCTTGTCCGGACATTTCTCCGAAATCGGTTATTTGAACAATGATTACAAAGACACGTGTCTTGTAGAAGATTCTACGCCTCATATGTTCCAAATAGAAATCGTAAAACACAAATCAACGTAATAATGGAAGGACAACAGCAAAAGCATCCAAATGCAGATTACTTTCAGGAGTAGTGGACAATTCCTCACATTTGGCCAACAGACGAAGACTTACGTTCTGGCTAAGCATTCCAACCTCTTAGCGTGGCACTTAGAGTTGAAGATGCCATAGGTATTCAGGGTTTGACAACGCTTTAACCACTAACACCTTCTAATATGAAGCGTACCCACCAAGTGAAATCGAAAGACAAGCGAGGAGATCAAAGATATATTTGATAAGCTATCAATATATCGAGGATCGTCTGAACTAATCTGGCTAGCGATTACGGTAGATGTTGAGCACGGCGTTCCCACACGTAATCTGGTGCGGATGAATGACCGAGAGCCTTCAGCTAGATGAGTCCATCAAAACTATTATGGTCAGCATCCAATGTCGAGAACTTACAGAGCTATTTATTTCAGGGATGTATTTACCGCTACAGTGTTATCAAACTCCGAATACCTTAGGCATCTTTGATCTTGGTGAAATTCCGCGTAGCATGAAATCTTACGGATATTTCGTTGCAATAAACTACTTGACCTAAGTCACATCTGGATAAGGAAAACTAAGCGAAATAATTGACATGTAATTGCTTGAAGTTTCTAGAAGACACGACCTGTTTCATATAACTTTGCATTTCTGCTCTGAATAAGATGTAAAAAATTTACACTAGCTGATTAAATTCATGCAATTTATTCAAGATTCAGTACCATTTGTTTAAAAGCCTGAATGTTTGTTTAAATGCTGCTGTCATTGCAGTGCGTAAGTCGTAAGTACAAAGGTGATTTCGCTATGTCTGATGATTGTTAACTAATATGATATAAATGGAAAAATACGAAAATCTTGGGTTAGTTGGAGAAGGAAGTTATGGAATGGTTATAAAGTGTAAAAATAAAGAGTCTGGAAGGATTGTTGCGATTAAAAAATTTATTGACAGTGAGGATGATAAACATGTTAAAAAAATAGCACTTCGTGAAATAAGGATGTTAAAAGTAAATCTTTTTATCAAATAGTATTTTTAGCAACTTCGTCATGATAACTTGGTAAACCTTTTGGAGGTTTTTCGACGAAAGAAACGTCTATATCTTGTTTTCGAATTTGTGGACCATACAATATTAGATGACTTAGAAAAGCATCCCAATGGAATAGACGAACTGCGCACAAAACGCACTTTATTTCAAGTCATTCGAGGCGTGGAATTTTGTCATCTACACAATGTAAGTTAACAGTATGTTTTTGTCCATTCAATGGTGACAAACATGATAAATCTTTTTTTTCAACAATCTTATAGTGCTAGAAACCGAAAACGCAATGTTGTAGTTGTCGAACTAACTTTAAAGCTAGGAACTTTATGTGTATATTTTATTGCTTATGCTATTGTTGGTATGTGACAAAATATCAAATATATTAGGTGAAACGTTATCGCTAATCGAATTTAAGAAAACTTCACACTTTAGTTGTTCTTGCAATTATATTTTTAATTTCATAACTATTTTACACGCAATCGCAATTGTGGTTGTCACTTCAACGTACTCACAAATCTTAATTTCATTGATTTCAGTTGATTTCGATAAACGTCTTATCTATTATAAGTATATATTAACTTACGACTTTCTAAGTAACACAGAAAACCTCCTAAAACCTTTTACTTTAACATAGCCGAGTAGCTCGTACAATTTACACGGAGTGTATTGAACACTATAAATCCACCTGCTCTAAAACGTAGAATATTGAAATAGTCAGTTAGAATTCTTAACAAAAAATATAATTTCTATAATATAAGTCAAAAACATATATATTTACCATGTGGAGGAAAATCAGTATGTCTGAATTTTATGACTTGACGGCACTATTTTACATGCAACTCTACTATATCCTATTTGCACCACCGAAAGATTCAGGAAGTCGGTGGGAGACATGAGAAGGAAGAGATAAGCTGACATAGTTTTAGATCACCATCTGATTGTTTTAAAGTTTAAAATAAAGCCATAAAAGCGCTGTACAACTAGAGAAACAGCATAACAAAGATTTAATACTGTCTTCCTTCAAGATACTGACAAACTCAACAAATTCAAGTTAGCTCTCAGCAAGAGGTTTCAATCCTTACAAGACCTACTCGAAGCAAAAACTTTTGTGGAGAACATTCGGAAAAAGACAAACGGAAAGCTAATTTCAACGTACCGGTAGACTTTAGGATGAAAAAGCAACATAATCAGGAATGGGTCTCTCTCAAAACCCTGGACAAGATTCAAGAAAGCATCAAGAGAAAGTTATGGGCATCATTCGTAAGTTCTGAAATGTTATGAAAAAATTACGGATAACGGATCCAATAAATTATTTTTAGTGCACAAAATTCATCCGTAAAGCCATACAGAATTAAAATTGTGCTTCATCGTTCTACAGTTTGTTAAAAAGTTTACGGTCGGCAGAATTTTTCAAGTAAAACAAATTGCAGAGAAGGAAAAAAGCTTGATTATCTACTACATCTCAATGGTCAGCCCTTCCTTCCCCAGGTCAATGCTGATTTCAGATAGAACAAAAACACACGCCTAAAAGAATACAGTTGTTGTGGAAAGTTTCAGCCAGTCAACTGAAAAGATATCAAATAAAATGACTAAATGGTACATAGTGAAGTAAAATGGGGCTTGTGTGTTTCGAAGAAGGGTCATTAGAAATAAATTGGCGATTGTTTGCAATGAATACACGATTTTCATACCTGACTTTAAGAACTTCTTATATCGTCCATCATTATTTGTTTTCCTTAAGAATTTAAAATTATTGGCTGGCTCAAAAAACTAAGTCTTAGAGTTTGAAGATGAAGTTTTCAAACAGCCTCACGAAAGGTTATTTTAACAATGAACTGCTGTCATCAATAGTGTTCTTGTTTGTAAATATAGACGTTCTAAAAACATATGAAGTTGCTGTTATTCTTAAATGATAGGCACAATTTGAACCGTCTCTTACACTGCAGATAAAGGTTTCATGAGTAAGTCAAAAAATTTAAATATACATACTAGGTACACTTGAAATCAGCCTGAAGGAACTGAAAATGTGGCCAAATTCAAATTTATTTCATTTGTAATTTGGAAATTTACTATTTGGAAAATTATGTAGATGTCAATGTTATGTTGTCTGTTTGAAGTCGAATTCACTTCATGATGTTTATGCAGATGTTATTTGAAACCAGTGACTTTAATTAAATGACATTTGTGTACACACACATATTTTGAGCTAGAAATACCATTAAGTGGGATTTTTTCAGTTATGTTAGATGTGTTGTTTAGTAACTGTGAACACACTGGTTGTACTTGCTAGTGGAACTGTCTGAACACATGCTTATCAAATAATGAGCATAAAATGGAGTTAAAACAAACCAATAATCATAAACTGTCATATTGCCACTTATAAAGAAGATGAGACCATGAATCTAGGCTTAGGCGATCAAGGTCAACTATCAAGTAACCGATACTTCATTGATGCCAAAGAACAAAGTGTGTTTATAGACTGTATGCAAGCTAAGCTAGTTTTAGGACTTCAGTTGTAACAGATCAGTGAACACAAACTGAAATGATTTTCAGTATTGCGAATTTCACAACATTTTACAATCGCACTTCATCTTGTAGATAGTTCATCGTGATATCAAACCCGAAAATATTCTTATCAGTCGTAATGGCGTCGTTAAATTATGTGATTTTGGTTTTGCACGTACACTTGCTGCACCCGGTGAAGTTTATACAGATTATGTGGCCACCAGATGGTACAGAGCACCAGAGCTTCTTGTTGGAGATACAAAATACGGCAGGTTGGTCCTATTTTGTACATTCAAAGTTTTGCATAAAATTCGTTATCTCAGTTTCTGTTTGCAGAAAATAATTGTGTTTTTAAATATGGTTGTAAAACAATTTCATGATCAAGATATACCAAAAAACAATTTTTAATATTTTTTAAGGTTGCTGTTTTTGAGATTAACCATCTTTGTCCAACATGAATGTGGTACATAATTTTGCCTTTTATTTACAATCATTAAGCAGCGTTAAAAATGGTTTAGCGAAACTGCTCTTGAAATTCTTCAGTAAACCATCCCAACAAAAGGTTAACACAACGTGTGAAGGGCATTTAAGAGGAGTTCAACTATCCTTCATTCAGCCTACAGTTAACTAATATTTTTAAGCAATTCGAATATAAGGTTTACGCAAGTCCCCAAACCTCCAACGAGTTCGACAAGTTAATGATTAATAAAAACCAAGGAAAAGCGATTGAATTGATCATTTGTTTCTAGAAGTTTTGAAGTCTGAACTATTTTTAAAATTACCTGATACGTTAAGTAAATCATATGAGCTGATTATGCTTTCATCTGATCACACAGGATCACTGATCATTTCAGTATATAATCAAGAACCAGGAAGTTATCGTAAAAACCACAACGAAATCAGTTTTATTGATATATCCTTTATTGTATCAAGCTTTATAATCACTGGACGTTTGAATAGATCTCGAAAACACAAATACTCAAAATATCAATGAAGTTTCAAACCTGACCATGGAAAGTTAGTTACTCAGACCATAAATGTACGTCGACTGGGATGGCTGGAACATTTATTACTGACTGCTATTAACTTCTTACTTTAATACAAGGAGTAGAATATTACAGGAGTCAGGTTTAAGAAATCTGTAGGAGCCCAAACCAATTCATGGCAGTAGTCTACAAATTATTGGTCTGATCCATGGCCTCGTGGTTGTCTTGGTCAATAACAGAAATATGAGATGACATGTCCTTAAATCAAAGACTGGGGGGACGATGCTTTTTAAGGGTTCGTATAAATAATTGATTTTTATTTCTGTTCTTCATTTAATCCATTGTAATAATATTTCCAGGCCGTTGAACATTGCTTCATAGGTCATGTATTACTGACTGTGGTTAAAATGTTTTACATGATCTTGGACTTGGTCACAGAAAAATAATGCATCTAAGAAACGTCTGTGAATTTTGTAAAAATTTGAGGTTTGGTAAACAATGTGTACATTTGACGATCTGGGAGAGTTGAAATAACAAATCACTGTTTTATATTGATTAGCACATAAGATTAACTTTATTAAGTAAGACGTTCAGCATAACTTGATAGTACAATTCAACTTGTTAGTGTTTTGTTATGATATGTACCGTATATCTCAGAAAACTGTTGGTAAAATTATAGGGTAGCTTGAAGTAAAACATATGTTACTGAAATCGTTCTTCACTAATTCAGTGTTGTACACCAGTCTTCTGTTATTAATCTACAGTTTATCTTTTGTATCAATAGAAATTTTTCCACCTTTAAAAACTGCCAATAAACCCAAGATCCGCAGTTTAAATATCAGGAAGGTAAAAAAAGAAAAGTTGTTAGACCAACGAAGATATTTATTACAAACAAAATAAATAATGAATCTTATACTACTAGTATGAAATAATTAGTTACCAAAAATGATAGAAGTTAATGGTTAACTAAACAATTTGTAACATAATCCATTATTTATTTGTTTTTTTCCTACGTATTAACTTTGTAAACATTTAGCTTTGTAAATGTTTGTAGTTTCTATAGGCAATTTCTGTCCGCTTGTTAGTAAGAGTTATTTCGGTGAAAAAGTAGCTTACATCAATATATACGTTAAATAAATTAGAATGAATAACGTCGATGGGAACTTAGATCTTTTATGTAAGGGTTTACGTATATGATTTTGCTTATAAACGTCACCACAGTCTGCAATTTATTTTTTCACTGATTGTTTACTCTGTAGATTTTTGGAATCATAAATACAAAGACTATACTTGTTTTAACTTCATTAGTAAAATTGAACAAGTTATTTTTTCTGCTTTATTAAAGTAAATGCCTCGATTACATTAGATTGTTGCAGGAAAATTGTTACATATTTACCCTAAGTTAAAATTTTTCTTCCTTAAAATTATCAATATTTGTTGAGTTGACAGAATTGAATGTTTATATGTGTACCTCTCTAGTATTACTAGTACATTTTACTGTGCTTAGAAAGTCAAAAATGAACAGAAACGTCCACTATTAAACATAGGAAAAATGTATACTACTTGAGCTGTTAAATTATTATCAGTGGTCTGTTATTAGTTAATTGTTTGTGTCCTTTTCTCCTGACATTGAACATATTTTTTGATCATCATAATCTATGCTGCATGAATAAAGCTCTTTATTACATCCATTATCAATAATAAGAACACTACTTATTGTTACTATTATTATTGTATTTCTTTAGACCAATTGACATTTGGGCTATTGGTTGTCTTGCCTCAGAAATGTTGACAGGTGATCCTTTATTCCCTGGTGATTCTGACATTGATCAATTGCATAGGATAGTGCGCTGTCTTGGTAAGTTTAATTTATTCATTATTTAATCAGTAAATGTAATTATCTCATTTATAAATTATACTCTGATTGTATTTGATATTTCCGGGAATTGTTAAAATTTTTTATCATTTTATTTTTGTTTGCCTTCCTAAAATCAAAATATAAATAATCATTATCTAGTTTCTGGATAGTTTCCATTAACTTAGAGTTGATATAAGTTTTTATGATTATTTTGTTCACCATTGTCATTTTGATATTTTGAATAATATATCTATTGAGGAAAACTTTTATTACTAGTTCTCTTTAAAGTTGTTTCACTTTGATCGCTTCTATTATAAAAGTTTTATTATCAGAAGGGGTTTTGTGGAGATTGTAATAATTTCATGATCTTAATCATTGAAAATAAAAGTTTTACTCATGAAGTAAATCAAACCATTTGGTTTCTATTATTCCTTTAAATGTATTTAAATAACCTTTTATCAAACAGTTTACATTAAAATCTAAAAATGGATAAATTTAACAAAAGTCACGCTTCAATAAATAGTTTCTTTAATTTCACCAAAAATAAATCTGTAGTTTTTTGAAGAGAGTCTCTGTTAGCAGTTTGATATTTTTGTATGAAGGTAATAAATTAATTGGTTTTTAAAAAATGCTCTCCAATATGCCAATGTATAGCCCTATGAATTAAACTTTAAACCTCACTGGTAAACAGGTGGGCTGTCAACTACATTTTCGGTATGTTTGTCTTACCTATTATATGTATAGCAGCTGGATTAAAAGTTACAGTTTGCTACACAAGTTTCTCCTTAGGGAGGAGATTTTATGATTTCTTTCACATTCAATCATCATCACTGTGTACAATCCATTATCTGTTGATATATAAAATATATGCCCCAGTCATCTGCTAGATATGTCAACCACAGTTTTTAGATATTACTCCTTACAATATTCATTTCTCTTTAAGTGTGAGTTTACTAAGGGATAAATATGAAACCTTTACAAAAACACTGGTCACAAATTTATGAGCAGAAATCAATGGTAGCTAGCAGAGCAATCAATCTTCCGCGTTTCACCCCACTCGGAACTCGTCAAGTGGGAGTACCTGAATCCCAGAGCTGATGCTCACTACGGGACTCAAAGCAATCACCGTTCGCTTCGAACTTCATAGCGTTATCATTTAGCTGCTGACATGTTATATGGGGCAAAGTTTAGTTCATTTGTATTGATTGTTTGAATCTTGTCATTGATTTTTAAAACTGTAACTCATCAGTTTGCTTTGACACATGTCCATCCTGTGCTAAATACCTTGATACTGTCAGTAAGTCACAAGCATTTTAAGCAGAAATAAATAGTGGCTGGCATTTTGACCCCGTACACTTGTCGCGGCTGTTTCCATCAACAGCAGATGAAGTGAAGTATAAACGTCTGATGAAATACAGAGTGGGAATTCCGACTATGTTTGATGTTCGCACTCATCAGTTTATAAATGGTATAGAAAAAATACGTATTGTTGAATAAGAGTTCACTTTTCGATCAATAGTGATTGATCCCATACATTAAAAAATTGTTTGCAAAATCTAGCTCTTCTATCGTATCCAAATTTTGTATGGTCTTGTTAATCAATACTTATTCTTCAAATTAATTTTAATTTCAATTAGTCTGAACAACCTAAATTAGAAAAAAAGCCTTTCATAATATAGGTTTAGACGTATTTTTTAACCCTAAACTGAAACAATTAATAAGACTAATCAATTATAAAGGTTATTATTGATCAGCGCTGTGAATAAAGTAGCCACAGATATAAGAATTACTTTATAGTGCACAAAAATAAAAATCGATTTTTTTCTTAACTCCTTTATTAAATTATATAATTATTAATGATATAATACAAGTCTATCTCGAACTTAAATCTGTCAACTCTTGATTTCTTACATAAAGTTTAGCAGAAGTTTAAAGCTTTTGTTTTATGTTATATAAAATGATATTTGTTAGTTTTTTATTGAATAGAGAAAAAATAGACACGAAAATAAAATAGAGTCGATCAAATATTGATATCTCAAGTATTAAATATGGTACTTGTTAATAGGCGATCTTAGTCATAGTGATTATGATCTATATTCAGTATAATAACTAACTGGTTGGTAATTTCGAGAAGAAAACAATATAATTTATTCTAAGTCAGCTATTTTCAAAAATGCAACATTCATTCTATTTATATTAATTAGTAGTATGAACTATATACAGATAAGAGATTATAAAGCTAATTTTAGTCAACTACGTCAATTTAATCAGTAATGTTTTTTAATGTATTACTTTGATCACTTAAATTTGTCATATATTGATTTTGTGTTAGAATATCCTTGGTTCTCTATATTATCCAGACAATATGCTTTTATTAAACGGTAGCTTTCCAATTATAGTGATTATCTAAAAAAAACTTATACGAATTTTTATAATGTTTAGTGATATGATGGAAAGAAAAGTCAAGATTCGATTGATTTACTCATTCTGAGTTTTATTCAACATTACTTCTGTTTTGATTCAATGTAATGATTACTCAATGTAGTATTTCCTTTTTTTCTCGTATGATATTTTATTCTGTATAATATACGATATTCTTGTATTCCATTGATCTGAACTATGCTCAGTATGTGATTTGTTATAACTCTAAGTATTTTTCATATATGTAATTTCATTCTAATTATTAATCAAAATGGGTGTACAATCAATATATAAATGAGTGTATTTTAGACTAGGGTCGTCATCGTCATCGTAGTGTTTTAGGGATTAATAAATTTTCACTTATACCAGTCTTGTGTTTTTACTTTCGCATCGTGGGAATTGTGGAGGTTCCTTCGTTCCGAGCATAGGTGGTCAGCGATTCCGACATAACAATCAGCGACGACCAGATACAAAAAGCTGCATTCCATTCACAAGACATAACAACTGGCGACGGGAATGGGATTCGAACCCACGTGGGTTATAACATTTAGTATTAGTTTTCAATACATAAATCACGATGAAACTATTCTGTACAGAAATTTAATTCAGTGATCAGTAATTTAGTGTATGGAATTGGTAAATTACTGCATTAACATCAAGCGACGTATTTGATTTAATAGGTTTATCGACAGTAATATCTTATTGTCAATACAAAGTCAGAGTATGTGATGTCAGTTAGTTGTCTGAATGCTGAACAACGCTGAGAATTAAGACATATTTGTGAAAAATAGTTATTGAAAAGGTAGGTCAGAAATATATGATCATTAGTTCGTAAGAATGTCACTTGATTTCGGTAAAATTCATGATTTAATGGATTTTTAAATCTAGGCGTATTAGTGGATGGGCACTTTAGCATATAATGCTGAGAAAAATAAAAGTGGGCTATAAAAACATTTATAATTAAATCAAGACAAACTGATCATTCATTAGATAAATTAATGATGATTTCAACCATACAGAAATCGATGGACTACTTAGACTGATGCTCACGTGGTTATATCAAGCAATGATGAGAATATTTATCTCACACGGCTCAAAACTGATTGTAGTAAATTAAATCCATTTGTTCTTTAAACTAATTTAATCATCGAATTCTTTTTATTGGTTTAGTTCCTTTTCAAGTCTTTTCCTCTTTCTTTAGATAATTTTAGTTCAGCTGTTTACATATATGTCATTAGAAAATGGGACTGTGTGAACTTATCTACTAATTTTCAGATTTCGCAGCATCGGTATAAAATACACCCAATAGTTATGATCTTTTAACGGGTCCCGGCCGTTTTGCTTTGAAGTACATAACAGATATGCCAAAATGTCAATATGGTTTTTCGTAAATGTAGAAGCGCGCATTCTTAATGAATAACTACTATCTTCAATATGTCTAAAGCTTAGCTCCTGAAATTTACCAAGTGGTTTATTATTCTCAACTTCAGATTTAAGGATACTAAAAATCTAAGGATTTTCTATGCCAACTGAGAATATTTAACTGTTAAGGAAGTGTACACATTTTTCAAACCTATCTGACATTTCTAATCATTAGTACAGTTGATGTGCAGAAAATACATGACCGCTAGTAGTACCTTTTATCTAGAGTTTCTATCAGTTTGATTAGTAACTGTCTGCAAGTTCTAAAACAAAATACTATTTTCCTGCTGGTGCTAGTAGTATCCAGTGTTGAAATGTCATTCGAATTTCAACAAACATTAGTTCTGTTAGAGTGTTTAATCGTAAATAAGGTAGTTTTCTAACTATGAAAGAGTTGACAGAGCCGCTCTTCACTCTGATCTGGTCTGTAATAGGCAACTTGCTCATGAAATTGCCTAAGCTTAAATCATTTCACTTAAAACTGCTACATGAAGATAGTGGGTTTCGTATGCTCAAAAATATTTTTCCTATTTTCTATCCAGAAGCAAACTTCTGACGATCACAACAAAAAACAAAAATGGAAGATGAGATTATGAAATTAACTTAACCATTGCTTATCAAAACTATATAACAAAATTATATGAAAAGTAATTTTGGATAAATATTTTGTGCATAAACCCTTATGACATTAAAAAGAAGTTGAACCTTTGGCTTAGAATTTGACTTATGTGTCTACGCTGATAATTGTGAACACTTTTATAAACATAAAATTACAGTTATGTGGAACTGTTTGAGATATTTTTCTCACCATTCGGGGTATGTGAACAACTAGGATGAAAAAGCTGTCAGTTGTTTTCACGTTTTCAATGGCTGACCAGCTGAATTATGCATTATTAATATTGTCCAGAGTCACAATGAAAGCTCAACAATTAAACTGTTCGTCTCAGAGAACTCAACATCAAAAATGTATTTCAATATGTTAAACAAATAAAATTTCATTCATTATTCTCTCTACTTAGCATGTGCTCGAAAAATAATTTAAATTATAATTAAAATTTCTTCAATGGTAAAAATTATTTTTGTAAATATTGTACATCTACCTAATAACAAGAATATTTCTTAAGTATTTCTGTTTTGAATAGTTTTCGGCATTAATC